TATGGCTCTCCTGTTTAACAAAAATGAAAAGTTTATATAAAATGTCATGTTGTTCAGTCAACATCTAAACCTCTTAGCTGTTAGATCAGATGAGAGCCAGGTATTTTCTATCATGCCCTGGGTGCTCTAAAAAGTGCGGCTGCCTTGATCTTGTGAGAGCATCATTGTCCACTTGTGAAAGATGTCAGAGCAAGTTGGAATGAAGTCAAATATAAACTAACTGGCATGCGCTGTGCGGAGAGCCTGCTTACTCAAGAATTGTACTTAAGTACAAATTCTTTGTAAGTGTACTTGATTTTTTTCACCATTGCACTTCTACGCATTAGTTACTTTTCAGAGTACAGTTTTTCACCTTCTTTTGGTCCAGTACCAAACCGTGTATCTCCAGATTTGGTTTGATTTGAATTTTAGTGTTTGTGATAAACTGAAGGATGAAGCTGGTACTCCACTCATTTATGGTGCCATGCAACCCTGCATGTTAAAGGGATAGTGCACCCAAACATGAAAATTGATGAAAAAGATGCTGGGTTTCTTCCCTGGTGATGCTCTGCCAGCCCTTTACTGTAGCCGTCTGCACTTCCTGCTTGTGTTTTGGGTGTTTTGCCCTCAGTTTTGGCTTCAGCAAGAGAAACGCATGCTCAGTTGGATTCAGGTCAGATGATATGACTTGGCCGTTGCAGAACATTCCACTTCTTTGCCTTAAAAATGTCTTTGGTTGCTTTTGCAGTATGCTTCAGGTCAATGTCCAACTGCACTGTGAAGCATCGTCCAATGAGTTTTGGAGCATTTAACTGAATCTGAGCAGATAATGTAGCCCCAAACACTTCAGCTTTCATCCTGCTGCTCTTGTAAGCAAGACAAGACTTCACTAGAATAAATACAGAGGGTTTATCACAAGATGCAAACCATTGGTTAGCCTTAAAAATGGAAGGCCAGATTAGAGTTTGTCAAAAACCATCTAAAAAGCCTGTACAGTTGTGGAACAGCATAATATGGACAGATAAAACAAAGATCAACTACCAGAATGATGGGAAGCCAAGAGAAGGAAGAAGGGAAGGAACTGCTCATGATCCAAAGCACACCACCTCATCAGTGAAGCATGGTGGAGGTACTGTTATGTCATGGCCATGTATGGCTGCCAGTGGAACTGGTTCTCTTGTATTTATTGATGATGTGACTGCTGACAAGAGCAGCAGGATGAAAGCTGAAGTGTTTGGGGCACCATTATCTGCTCAGATTCAACTAAATGCTTCAAAACTCATTGGACAATGCTTCACAGTGCAGTTGGACAATGACCTGAAGCATACTGCAAAAGCAACCAAAGACATTTTTAAGGCAAAGAAGTGGAATGTTCTGCAATGGCCAAGTCATATCATCTGACCTGAATCCAATTGAGCATGCGTTTCTCTTGCTGAAGCCAAAACTGAGGGCAAAACACCCAAAACACAAGCAGGAAGTGCAGACGGCTACAGTAAAGGGCTGGCAGAGCATCACCAGGGAAGAAGCCCAGCATCTGATGATGCCTATGTGTCCAACACTTCAGGCAGTCATTGACTGTAAAGGATTTGCAACCAAGTATTAAAACTGACTGTTTAATTGATGATTATGTTAGTTTGTCCAAATACTTATGAGCCCTTAAAGTTGGGGGACTGTGTGAAGAAATGGTTGTAATTCCTACACGGTTCATACTACATTTTTGAAAAAAGCCTTAAATGAAAGCTGAGAGTCTGCACTTTAAGCAGGTATTCATTGTTTCATTTAAAACCCATTGTGGTGGTGTACAGAGCCAAAATGACGACAACTGTATCATTGTCCAAATAATTATGGACCTGACTGTATCTCATCTGGCTTGGGAACACCTTGGAGTCCCCTAGGAGGAGCTGGAAAGTGTTGGTCGGAAGAGAGATGCCTGGGTGCTTTGCTTGGCCTGCTGCCCCCACGACCCGGCCCGGGATAAGTGGATGGATTGATTGATGGATGGAAGGATATCATGGACCACAATATAGCCAAAAAATATTGTGATCATATTTATAGGCCATATTGCTCAGCCCTAGCCCCCCGCATTGTCTAAGGTCGGAGAACTGCACTCTGCTGAGTGCACTTTCTGCTTCAGAGCTGAATCAATTAGGCATTTAATCAAATGGTCAATAGAAAGATAATGTTTGGCAGTTTGATTTTAGATTAATTTAAGTTATCTGATGAAGGAAAAATGCCAAATATTGTCTGGTTCCAACTTCCTGAATGTAAGGATTTTTGGCTGTGACTGGACCGAAAAAGCAATTTGAAAGTGACATTCAGGGCTATGTGAGATTGTTTTTGGTCATTTTATAAATTAACCTAAACGATTACTTGATATTTTTGTTAAAATAATCAACACATTAATAGATAATGAATACAGTTGTGACCCTAAAATAAAAGCATAATGTGTTGTGTAAAGAAGAAAAATGGCAAGTATTCTCAAGTTTGAAATGAATACATTTGAATTTAAAAAGATATTCATAGGTATTTTAAGAGATGGTTTTAATTGCATGAAAGATCAGTTTGTAAATGCACATTTAGTATGATTAACTTTTATTACTTCAACTTGTTAACTAATGGATTGGGATACACTGGTTAGTGCCCAACAGCACCAAACAGCTTGTAGTGTGTTGAAACTAGTTTCTTTTCTCATTGAACAGTAGTGGTATCAGGGTTTTAGTGTTAACATTATGTAGCAATTTTTGAAGCTGTATCTATTTATTTCATTTCTCTCCACAGACATCCAGCAGCTGTTGGTGGTGGTTAAAGAAGAGGTTCCCCATGAGCAGCAGGAGTGGTGCTTCAGTCTGGACCAGGATGAACCAGAGCCCCCACACATTAAAGAGGAACAGGAAGAACTCTGGAGCAGTCAGGAGGGAGAGCAGCTTCAAGGGCTGGAGGAGGCTGATGTCAAGTTCACATTCACTCCTGTCCCTGTGAAGAGTGAAGATGATGATGAAGAGAGTGCTCAGTCCTCACAGCTTCATCAAAGACAAACTGAGGAGAACAGAGAGGCAGAGCATTTGAAAACAGAAACTGATGGGGAGGACTGCGGGGGATCAGAACAAGCCAGGATCTTAGATCCAGATAGTCCTGATGAGGAGACTTCACAGTCTGAGACTGAGACTGATGACAGTAGAGATTGGGAGGAGACACGGGAACCACAGTCAGGATTAAACTTGCTGCAAAACAGTGAGGTACCTGTTAGTGCTGTGGAATGCAATACTGAAAAAATATCAGTTAGTTCCTCTAAATGTGCTGAAAGGTTTGACCACAAGGGACATCTGCAGAAACACACTGGAATCAAAACAGGGGAAAAACCATTTAGTTGCTTTGTCTGTGGCAAAACATTCTCTAGAAAGTATTACTTAACAACTCATATGAGACTTCATTCAGGAGAAAAACGATTCAGCTGCTCAGTTTGTAAACTTAAAATCAATTGCCGAAGCAATTTCGTTAAACACATGAGAATCCATACTGGGGAGAAACCATTTAGTTGTTCCCAGTGTGGTAAAAGATTCACAGAAATGGCCCACCTGAGACAACACTTGAATGTCCACACAGGGGAGAAACCATTTAATTGTCCATTTTGTAGTGTAAGATTCGCTGCCCAGGGTAATCTGAGACGACACATGACTGTCCACACAGGGGAGAAACCATTCAGTTGTTCAGTTTGTGGCAAAACATTTGCACATAAAGGAGACATGAGAAGACACTTGCTTGTCCACACAGGGGAGAAACCATTTATTTGTTCAATTTGTAGTAAAGGTTTCACACAAAGTAGAGATTTGAGACGACACTCTACTGTCCACACAGGGGAGAAACCATTTAGTTGTTCAGTTTGTGGTAAAAGTTTCACACAAAAGGGAACTCTGAAACTACACTTGACTGCTCACACAGGGGAGAAACAATTTAGTTGTAGCGTTTGCAAAAAAAGATTCGCCCGGCTCTATAATGTCAAAAGACATAAGTGTGTTGGTGAGAGCAGCAGTAATAAGTGAAGTCGACGAAATGTTTCTTGAGCCATTATTTTTTCCAGCAGCACTAAGTACAGAGGGAAAGACTCGGTTCAGCACTGATCAACTAAAAACTGTCAGACTTGAGGCTGATACAGTCTAAAAATTGAGTCTTTTCAGCAAAGATGAAGCCACACAACCACTTGAATTAGGGATGTCCTGATCACGTTTTATTTGCCCCCGATCCCAATTCGAGTCAGCATTGTCATGTTGTAGCCTTGTTATAATTTGTTTTTCAATAAAAAAATTAATTGTATGGCCTTAATATCAATTCTTCCCTGTGGTGTTAAAAATGGTATCAAATATCTATATTTGTCAAGGTATGGTATCAAAGTTGGACTTTCCAGTATCGTGACAACAAAACAAAATACTTGGACAACCAAGATGAAGAAGTAAACTGTATGACGGATGGAAAAAGTATGCTAACACCTGAAGCTAATGATGATGAGCCAGGATGGCATGAAGCAAACAGTTTCAAACCGAACTGAAATCAGACCTGAAATTGGTCAGAGACCAAACAGAATGAGAAATGAACTGTGAGAGCTCAAAGATGACTGACCACAAATTTACCAAAATAACTAATGAGATAGGCGAGTGGAGAGAAAAGGTGGATGCTACTTTAACTTATATTGATGAAGTTAAATCATGGAGCTCCGAAGCTAACTGTGCACTGCAGCAATTAATGACAGCGCAGTGAGGATTGATGGACAAACTAGATGACCTAGATATGAGGGCCAAAAAGAACAACTTAAGGATTTATGGAGTACAGGAGGGAGGCGAGTCGAAGAGCGACCCAGTGGCATGGAGAAATGACTCCGTGATGAACTCTTAATAATCACTTATCTTCAGAGTTAGCGTGCCCAGAGCTCTGACACCGAAACCTAAAGCAGGTCAGCCTCCCAGATCAATCCTCAACTTTCAGTAGTACACCATAGGGGTGGGAATCGCCAGAGGACTCACAATACAATATTATCACGGTACTTAATACGGTATTATTGCGATCTGCTCAGTATTGCGATGGAGCATACTGCAATATATTGCAATTTATTACCTTTTTTCCAATTGCAAATTATTTCCCCTAGGGATGGGTATTGTTAAGATTTTATCGATACTGCTACTTTTATGGATACTTTTATCAGTTCTTTTTCATCTTTAAATATAGCTTTTTAAAAGATAAATTAATTTAATAAGAAAAAACTCAGAACAGAATTATTGAATATTTTAAATATAACTAAATTTTGTTTGTAGAGCAGCAACAGACATTTTTACAACAGCAGTCATATAAATAATATTCATGACATCACAATACTGGGAGAAGTTTAGTATTTAGTTTAGTATTTATCAGTAAAGTCATTCCTCCTGTCCTCTGCTTGTTGAAAAACACATGAACCCAGGTATGTGACTCCGCCCCCATGGTTTTTCACCAACACAGCCGTACCCAAGCTCTACAGAGAAGTGAAGCATAAAGCTGGGAAATCTTTGAGTACATTAGGAAGGGTGGCATTAACTTGTGATGCCTGGATTTCAAGGTCAGTGGATTCATATGTGACTGTAATGGCACATTATCTCAGACTGGAGACTGCTGTCTCACGCTCTCCAAACTAGAGCAGTACACCAAAGTAACACTGGAGCAAACACTGCAGACCTCCTGCAAAATGCAGCACAAGAATGTAACCAACAACACATCTAACATGGGTGTTGCCATTCAGTTAGCAGGATACCTGCATGTCAAGTGTTTTGCTCACAACCTGGCCTGGCAGAGGGTGTTAAATCTGCCAACAGTTAAGTCTGTCAGGTGTATGCAGCATTTCTTACAGGTTTTATGATGGTGTCAGTCAGTCTGTCAGCTTTACATCACATTTTGCTGCAATACAATGATTAGTCAGACATACATAGAGATGGGTACCGAAACCCGATATTAAACGAGACACGGGGCTACATTTTCAAAGACTGTAGTTTTGACAAACTCCGACGTTATCGGTTCTTTTATCATGACTTTTTTACTTTTACTTTTTTTACATTTTGGTTTAATTCATTATCATCCTGCAGCCCCTCACCTGTGCTCTGTGCTGGGGCTGACCTCCACACACAAACACACACACACAGACATGTCATTGAGTAAAATCAGTTTAAAATTACTGATGGCAGCTAAGCTCGTGACTGTATGTGCAATTATACATTTGCAAGTAAAAATCCAGAACTTCATAAATATGTGTTCAGCAAGTATGAACATGTAAGCAGCAATATTTAATTCTGCTCTGTCCGCAGTATCTTATCCACTGCCACTAATATTGTTTTACACAAGGACAGCACACTACTTCGACTAATGGAAAATTGTTAAAAATAAGCTAAAATGAAACAGCTCGTCCTCCCTCTACCAGTGCTAATACTACCTGCACACAGTGAATCACATCAGCAGAGAGGGAGCAGGACAGGAGGACAGAGGACAGGAGGAATGACTTAAAGTGACTCCCTCCTGTACTCCATAAATCTGCAAGTTGTTCTTTCTGGCCCTCGCATCTAGGTCGTCTAGTTTGTCAATCAGTCCTCACTGTCATGAATTCGTGCAGTGCACAGTTAGCTTCGGAGCGCCATGATTTAACTTCATCAATCAAATCATCTGTTATATCCAAGTCAAACGTCAAACAAGCCTTGGTTTTTAACAGCGCTGTATGGACGCAGATCTTTGCTCATGAAGTAGGTGATGGACTGTGTTATTTTCTTCGCTCACAGAGTTGGATGGTAGTTGTGTCAAACAAAGTGTGTCTAGTGTTAGTTGATTTTTTGGTGGAGTGGGTTTAGCGTTAGCTTGGCCGCCAGCGGCTAACGATATCTCTGGATGGTGGCTTGTGAGGTGAGCCCTCATGTTCGTAGTATTCCCAGAGTATTTTATTCTCATGTGGCACTGCATACAAATCATCTGTTATATCCAAGTCAAACTTTATTTATATAGCACTTTTCATACAAACAGAATGCAACACAAAGTGCTTCACTTGATAAAAACACACACACAAATTCAGAGACTGCAATGGTTAGGACTAATATTACAACAGCACAAAGAACCTGCAACTGAGGAAACGCTATCATAAGTAGGGGTTCTAGAGGGTTCATACGATAAAAGCAAATCAGATAAATAGATTGGACAAAGACCATTAAAAGCTTAATAAACCAATAAAAGGACCTTAAAATCAATCCTGAAGCACACAGGAAGCCAATGCGGAGACTTTAAAATTGGTGTAATGTGTGCTTTCTTTCTATTCCTTGTCAGGGCAGCTGAGTTTTGTGATAACTATAACTGAGCAATGTTTTTCTTAGGAAGACCAGAGAGTAGAGCATTATAGTAATCACCTCTGCAGGTAAGAAAAGCATGCATTATTGTCTCTGTGATGGTTTGAGAGAGAAACAGTAGCACTCTGGCAATGTTCTTAAGATGATGAAATCCAGTTTTGGTTATACAGTGCCCTCCAAAAGTATTGGAACAGTGAGTCCAATTCGTTTACTTTTGTTGTAGACTGAAAACATTTGGGTTTGACATCAAAAGATGAATAAGAGACAAGAGATCAACATTTCAGCTTTTATTTCCAGGTATTTACATCTGGATCTGATACACAACTTAGAAGATAGCATTATTTGTAATGGAACACAAAATTTTTAGGTGAGCAAAAGTATTGGAACATATAAACTTAAAATAGATTAAAGTGAATGAGACTTAATATTTAGTTGTAAATCCTTTGCTTTCAATAACTGCATCAAGCCTGTGACCCATTGACATCACCAAACTTTTGCATTCTTCTTTTGTGATGCTTTTCCAGGCTTTCACCGCAGTCTCTTTCAGTTGTTGTTTGTTTTGGGGGGTTACTCCCTTCAGTCTCCTCTTCAGCAGGTAAAATGCATGCTCTATTGGGTTTAAGTCTGGAGACTGACTTGGCCAGTCTAAAACCTTCCACTTCTTGCCCCTGATGAACTCCTTTGTTGTTTTGGCAGTGTGTTTTGGGTCGTTATCTTGCTGCATGATGAAGGATCTCCCAATCAGTTTGGTTGCATCTTTCTTTAAATTAGCAGACAAAATGTTTCTGTAGACTTCTGAGTTCATTTTGCTGCTGCCAACATGTGTTACATCATCAATGAAGATGAAAGAGTCCGTCCCAGAAGAAGCCATGCAAGCCCAAGCCATGACATTACCTCCACCGTGTTTCACAGATGAGCTTGAATGTTTGGGATCATGAGCAGATCCTTTCTTTCCCCAAACTTTCGCCTTTCCATCACTTTGGAAAAAGTTAATCTTTGTCTCATCAGTCCATAAAACTTTTTCCCAGAATTTTTGAGGCTCATCTCTGTACCTTTTGACAAATTCCAGCCTGGCCTTCCTATTCTTCTTGCTAATGAGTGGTTTGCATCATCTGGTGTAGCCTCTGTACTTTTGTTCATGAAGTCTAGTAGATTGTGATACCTTCACTCCTGCCCTCTGGAGGTTGTTGCTGATGTCACTAACAGTTGTTTTAGGGTCTTTCTTTACAGCTCTCACAATGTTTCTGTCATCAACTGCTGATGTTTTCCTTGGTCTACCTGTTAGACGTCTGTCGCTTAGTACACCAGTGGTTTCTTTCTTCTTCAGGACATTCCAAATGGTTGTACTGGCTATGGCCAATGTTTGTGCAATGGCTCTGATTGATTGTCCATCTTCTCTCAGATTCACAATTGCTTCTTTTTCACCCATAGACAGCTCTCTGGTTTTCATGTTGGTTCCACCTCTAAATGCAGTCTGCACAGGCAAAACCTATCGTACCCAATCTGAAACTGAGCTCAGACATTCAGTGCTATTTATTGTTTGAATAATCAATGTAATTGGGAGACAACTGGGCAACAAAACACACCTGTCAGTCACATGTTCCAATACTTTTCCTCTCATGAAAAATGGGTGGGTTCAAACAAAAGGTGCTATCTTCTAAGTTGTGTATCAGATCCAGATGTAAATACCTGGAAATGAAAGCTGAAATGTTGATCTCTTGTCCCATATTCATCTTTTGATGTCAAACCCAAATATTTTCAGTCTACAACAAAAATAAAGGAATTGGCCTCACTGTTCCAATACTTTTGGAGGGCACTGTACTTCTAATATAGGGTTCAAAACTAAGATTGGAATCAAAGATAACTCCAAGGTTTTTTTTTACTTGTTGACAGGGTTTTAGTGACAGTTCTCGCAGTTTTGTGTTGAGTTTCTCTTTCTGAGCTTCAGGACCAATAACTAAGACCTTGGTTTTGTCC